AGGAATAGTGTGGCCAGCAGGAGTAGGGAGAAGATCATCCCCCTGTACTCAGCCTTGGTGAGGCCACACCTTGAGTATGTTCAGTTTTGGGCACCTCAATACAAGAAAGACATTGAGGTGCTGGAGAGAGTGCAGAGAAGGGCAACAAAGCTGGTGAAAGGCCTGGAGAACAAGTCTTATGAAAAGTGGCTACTTAGTCTTAAGAAAAGAAGGCTGAGGGGAGACCTTATTGCTCTCTACAACTACCCGAGAGGACATTGTAGAGAGAGAGGGGCTGGGCTCATTAATGATAGAACAAGAGGGAATGGACTCAAGCTGCACCAGGATAGGTTTAGGCTTGACATTAAGGAAAATCTTTTCACTGAAAGGGCTGTCAGACACTGCAATATGTTGCCCAGGGAGGTGGCTGAGTCACCATCCCTTAATGTGTTTAAAGGTCGTTTAGATGTGGTGCTTGGAGATATGGTTTAGGGGGTATACTTGGTAGAGTAGGGTTGATGGTTGGATTTGATGATCTCAAAGGTCTTTTCCAACCTGAATGATTCTATGATTATGTAATCTAGATACTGTAGTGTTTAACCAAAAATTTAATGTTAAATTCTTGGCATGGTTTCCCAACAAGTAATCAGAAAAAAAAATTATGCTGAGAAGTCAAGGGTCTTCCTTTAGCTTGCACATGGGGGTACATTTTACAGGGCCATATTCTATGGTTGCCACTTAAAAACATTGTCAAGAAAATTACCTACTCAACAAGAAAGTGAAGGGCTTGAGGAGCAGAATTTTTACATCTTGGTCTCTAGCTAGGGCTAACAAGGAGTGCGATGGAACAAACAAATAACTGAACTGTGCAAAGAGCTTTGAGACAGCACCTAGGCTCCAGGACAGAACACAAAACCTGTTGTTTCTGTGCATGACAGACTGAGAGTCAAATTCCAGTTGCTGTGTATGTGAAAGAAGAAAAACTCCTGTGTGGTCACTGTCTGTGTGTGGGGTTGAATACTCTGATATCTCTTCCACATTCCAAGACAGGTCCTTCTAGGAAAGTACAAAAACCAAGCCTTTACCCTTGTTTTGCTTCTTCCCTTTCTGCACTGTATCATTTACAAGAAATGATACCCAAGAGTATGACTCTGTAAGACAACTGCTTATCTAACAGCCCGCAAAGATAAGCCAATACCAGTGACACCAAGGGAATGAAGCATCATTACTTATCTAATGCTCATCAGATCACACTGTTTGCTGATCAAGCCATGACAAGACAGCAAGGTAACCCAGGTTAAAAAAAAAAAAATTACCATATTAAACTCAGCTAGTGAGTTCATTCCACTGTCAAAATACCCATTTTATGGAACCATATCCACAGAGTTATAGAACAAGGGGAAACTTACCATGAGAACTTTATCCATGTAGAATTCCCTCCCAGGACTCCCATCATTGTATTTCGTATCGATGGCAAAACATAAGAAAAGGACATCAACAACCATTTCATAAATGGAAAGGAAGCAGTGAGCAACCAGGAATGCAAAAAGGCAGACAATGATGAGTGGCAGCACCCAGATGGTGTAATCTCGTTGGTAATTCAGCAACATAATCCCGGCCAAACCTGTACTGCAGACAATCAGGACCTGAAGAAGGAAACAGTAGACAACTCTATGGCATAAGCATTTTGATATTTTTTGTTTGGTTTATTTTTTTAACCTAGGTGTTTCTTCCTCTGCCAGGGCTAGAACTAGAGGTTACAGAAACTAGTGGTAATGACATCTTTACCTCCTGGATTCCCCACATCCCTGAATGTAAATGACATTTTATCTGTTGGTCCAGCATGTGCAAATCAGAATAGTTTCAAACACATCCTTCAACACAAAAGCTATTTTTCAGAGCAGATTACATTTATATCCTGCTGTCATAGTTCTACTGTTATATGACATTCCCATAAAAAAGAACTTTACCCTGTCAATTATGAAAAAGCCCAGAATGTGATGCTACCAATAAACTAATGTGCAACTGTTTTTTTGGTTGGGGGTGAGAAGAACATAGTTCTTAGAAGGATGGTATGTTTTTCATTCTGCTGGTGGAAACAGCTTTCAAGCTTGTCTTATCTCTGTCTCATCTCCATACAGGGGAAAGCACATCAGAATTCACGTGAGACACTTCAAGTAGCAGTCTCCACAGAACTACACTATGTGTGAGGCCCCAACAGATATTTCACTGGGTATCAGTTTGGTCTTTGGGAATAACAAAAGGACTAAAAAGAATTGTGGTGGCCACTCAACATTCTGAACATTTCTGAACCTATTATTCTGAACTGCAGCTAAACACAAAATTGTAAAATATGTCAGCTTTACTGTATTGTGGAAATAGCACATTGGACTGGTAGAGGAGACAGGCTGACAGCCTAGCACTGCTTTACCTCATACTATTTTTTACATGCTGCACTGTTCATTTTAACATTTCTGTCACCTGTGCATTTCTCTAATAATTTGAAAGACATCTTTTCAGGCAGATGTTTCCTAACACCTTTCAGACTCCTCCTTAAAACCACGTTATGTAATTTCATGGTCTCCCAAGTGCCTGTATCTTCATTACGTGTTTCTTTCTTCTCACATCTTACTGACTTAATTACTGGATGAAAAGCTGAACCCAGTGTACTGTGACTTAATAGAAGTAGAGGAATGTAATAAGGAAGACAGTTCAGTCCAATCAATGTCCAAATGCTTAGGCACAGGTGATTTAAGTGGATTGGTATTGATTGACTTAGTAAATAATGGCACAAAATCCTTCAAAGGATACGAATAATTCACTGGACTAAGTTTCCATAAAGTGTATCTCCATCAGTTGGAGACCCAGAAACATGACTGACCACAGAAATTATTCTAGTCTCCTTTGAATTCTCAGAGTAGAGGTAACTTAGTTGCTTCAGCTGGCAGTTCCTCATAGCAGGCTTCTGTACTACCTTCCAGTCCAATTATGTCATAAATAGTGACCAATAATGTGTCAATTTTCAACATAAACCTGCAGAGCTCTTACTAAACAGAATTTAGAGGAAATGTTTCCTTTCCTTACAATTCTAGGTTTTAACCACAAAACCAATCAAAAACATAGAACTTCCAATCACTTTTCTCTTGGCTCCCCAAAAATAAATTAATGCAAAAGGTGCCATCATCTTCAACAATTCCTTTCCAGTCACTTTTACTTAACAGAAGTGGATCATCTGTTTATCCTCCCTATCCTGGACAGTCCCTTCCTGATATGATGCAGCTAGATGTCATAAAGTGCATGCTAAGAAACAGGAATTTTAAGGCATTTTGTATTTTGGGTGCAAGCAATTGCTAAGGAAAGTTTTCTATTGTGCAGGACTGTAACAACTGTATATAGCAGACATACCTTTCCTAGAAACAGCATAAAATCCCCAACTGTGTTTATGGCAGCCACTCGCAAAGCATTTTCCACTAGAATAACAAAGGCATCCTTTGCTGAGGTGCAGAAGTTGGTGCTGTTGATAGCTGTGGCTGTGTATGCGTTCTGGGAAATGGAGATTGAAGGTTTACTCATGGAATGATCAGATACTTCAGACAGGGAGGTGGGGGGAAGGAGAGGGGGAAGATACAGCTTATGAATAAGTCACACAACTGCTATGATGTTAATAAGCAAAGATTCCCTTGAGAGTTGTTGAATCAAGCAGTATATGTACCAGCTGACAGAAGACTATACGAGGTAGAGAATTACTATTCTCCTCCTCCCTTGCTCATCATTTATGCATTAACAAGTTTATTCCAAAAAACTAATTAAACAGAATTTGCAATTTCTCTGTGGCAGGAGGTGAGCAGTGGCATAACTACAGCAATTAAGTAGTTAGAAAAAATATTCTGGAAATAGAAAAGAGTTTGAGAGTCATACAAGTCCACCAAGATAATTTCTAGATTCTTTACTACCCTGCATTCAAAGTTAGCCAGGACAACTTTCAAGGATTACACTGGGGTTTTTTAAATGCTTTCTTCCGATTTTATTTTCTATATTTCCACAAGCAAAAGAAATGAAAAACAGTGAAAAAGATATTAGAGATATTTATAGATGTACTTATCAGAGGTGGACCACAGGCCAGCAAAACCTCTTTTACAAAGGTGTCTGACCAGCCAGCGTGTTGCAACTTGGAACTTTTTTTCCACTTTGTAGATGGTGATGACCATTTGATGCAATTCAGTGCAATTTCAGTAATAGAGAAAAGACTGATGTACTATCACCCAAGTTTAGTTCCAAACTACAATACACTATGTGGCAGCCTCAGACTGCATTCTCGGGATACATATATATTATCATCCCTCACATAAAACTTGAAAATTGAAAATCTTACCTGATTTAAGTAGGTCAGGCACTTTTCTAGACACCAAAGGCAGCAGATGCAGGCTTTAAGCATACAGCGAGCACAAGCATTTTCCTAGGAATGTAGAGAATGTGGGAAAACAAAGAAAGATAAAGAGTAATACCAACTTAATCTTAAGATCTTAAGAAAACAACATTCATTTGTGTTTCAGTAACTGACACTCAGCTTGGTAACTTAAGCAGTCCCTCTCAGTCCCACGGTCCTTTAAAGACCAAATATTCCAAAACAAGACTTTCAGCCTCCCACACAGGTTAAATTAAATTATCTGTAAACATGTCAGGCCCTGAGTTTCAGTAAGAAAATGGAATCTATATCTCTTACTTTTCCTTTGAGTTGTGTATGAATATACATAAGAATCATTCGTGGTATCTTCACTAGCGTTATAATGAAAGACCCCTTTGCTACTGTTCCTAGGTGGTAGCAAACAAGGCGATTAATAGATGCCAGAATAGGAGTAAATGGCAGATTCCTTTTCTCCCTGTTGAAAAGGGAAAAAGAATAAAGTATAATGATTAGTATGGACGTAATATCATCTACAAGTGATTCAAATTCTCAATAAAATAAGATGGAAAAGGAATGTATTATCCTTATGCTAGCTTTCAGGGTATACTGTTCACTCCACACTGACAGCCTGTGCCAGTCACAATTTTGTCAGTAACGGAATAGGATCAGGAATCAGTATGTCTTAAGGGTAGTCTAACTAGAGGCTGGCTGCATTACTGCTGTTACCAACTAGTAGTTTCTATAAAACCCCATTTGATGGTGCATAGTTCAAACATTCCAAAAAAGTGAGAAACAATGCTAATATTTTTTCAGTTGGACTACTGATAAACTCACTTTCCCCTTCTCTCCTGTTTTGTCAGAGGTCTTTGTGGAGACATTGGAGATGCTATTGCTATTTTTATTTATTAGGTAAATTATTTTCTCAGATGTTTTGCATTTCTGATTTAGCTATTATATCCTCAAGGAACCAAATATTCAGCCTAAAACAAGCTATTTTATTGTAACGTGGCTAGAATATTTTTTATCTATCACGTGAATACTAACTTGCACAGTTTTGAAGCAATTCACTCTTAAAGTTTTTATTCATATTTCCTACCAAGGAATCCACTTCTATTTCTCTCACAAAGAACAGCTCAATTCAACATTTAAAAAATGGGTCTTCTTCTTTACTAGAAATATGAACATAATAATAAGCATATTAAAGGAACAAGTGCTAACATTCCAAACATATCTCCCCAGCTCGGGAGAAAGTTACTTTCATGTGAGTTTAATTCAAAAAAGATAAAAAAGTAGACTCTTTATTCCATGAAACTAACACCTGCATAACTTAAGCCTGAAATGTTAATGATTGAAATAGGTTTACCCTGTATTTTCTTCCAATTAACTTTCAGAGCTCAGGTTGGGGAAACCAAATTCTATTCCCCTTTGGGCACAACTACATAAATGGTCTGAGCCTTACACCCAGGCAACCCAAGAACTTCCTCATTTTGCAGTAAATATAAATGAGGGCAGAGTCTTTAATGCAGAACACCTTGAGGTCTGTTATTGCCCGAGTTGAAAGGAATCCATCTGGCTATGGTGAATGAAAAGTGAACATATATAAAACACTCCTCCATAGATAACTTTGTATCATTTGCTGTGGAAAGCTGCTAATAGGCAAAATAATGGGGAAGTCCAAATTAATGCCCTTTCCTTCTGACTAAGTCATCTCCAGATGAGAATTATACCTTAAAATGAAAAAAAGGATAATGGCAGGGAGAAATGGGTATATACTAACTTAAAAGAAAATTTCTGTAATGGAATGATAGGGTACAGCTAAAAGAAAAATCATTCACCCTCAGGTGACAGAAAATACATAAACTTGCAGATGATGCATACACATTGCTAAGCAATCTGTTTCAGTGCGAAGTTATCCCCTCTCCTCTGTACTATGCTAGTTCTTTACTCAATCTAGTTTAATTATTCACAAGATTACATCCCTATAACATCTTGTAATATTTCACAGATGTATTTCATTGGTATACTGGAGGACTTTATCATTAATAAAAGAACAGAATTTCTGTCAGCAGTGTAAATTAATTCCTTGCCTTTGATATTATTTTGAAGACTAGGGCAGACAAAGAGTCAAATGTAATTCAGATAACAGCCTCAATTAAAAAGACAAACCAATTAAACATCTGTGATCTGAATCACACACTTGAAAAAGATCTGCATGCATTACCTAAAAACCTGTTTTTTAAAAACGAGACTCTTAAAGGCACATGGCAAGAATAGAGCAGTTGCTGGATATCACTACAATTTTTTATATACAATATTACTCATTCAAAATGCTAAAAGCACATACCAAAATTCACCAGCTGAACTACACGTGTATTTAGGATACTAATGCTTTTTTTTTCTTGGGGATAGCATCACTCCAACATCTTGGTTTTCCTTTCCTAAGTAAGCCACCGTTGCTAAATATCTTGTCAACATCCTTGACTCATGCCTAGCTCTTTATCCAGAGGAGTTGTATTTATACTGTTTGGAAAAGTTTTTGAGAAATCTTAAATAAAATTACTTATCTAATTTCTGAACAATGACAAGGTGGGTTTTGGTTGTTTTTTTTTTTAAGAAATGTATCATGAACTACAAGATCTAGGATGACATGTGGAGAAGCTTCATTAAACTATACTTTTACAAACCAGTATTAGTGTACTTGCTTCTTTTCCTTACCACAAATGTTGCCACAGTTCTGTTCTGCATACCAAAATGTAGTATTTCAGATCACTGAAGTATGATTTATTCTCATGAAATACTAACAAAGCACCTGATACCACTTTTCTTCTGAAAAATGTTGAGTCCTAAATGGCTAAAATAAGAACTCTTATTTTCACTTATTTAAGGTAATGGATTCACCAAGGGGAAACCATGCTTGACCAACGTGATAGCCTTCGATGATGGCATGAATGGCTGGGTAGATGAGGGGAGAGCAGTGGATGTTGTCTACCTTGACTTCAGCAAGGCTTTTGACAGTCTCCCACAACATCCTTATAGGTAAGCTTAGGAAGTGTGGGTTAGATGAGTGGACAGTGAGGCAGATTGAGAACTAGCTGCAGGACACAGCTCAGAGGGTTGTGATCGGCAGCACAGAGTCCAGTTGGAGGCCTGTAGCTAGTGATGTTCCCTAGGGGTCAGTACTGGGTCCAGTTTTGTTCAACATATTCATCAGTGACCTGGATAAAGGATCAGAGTGTGCCCCCAGCAAGTTTGCTGATGATACTAAACCGGGAGGAGTGGCTGACACACCATTCAGCGAGACCTGGACAGGCTGGAGAGTTGGGCAGAGAGGAATCTAATGAAGTTCAACAAGGGCAAGTGTAGGGTCTTGCACCTGGGGAGGAATAACCCCACGCACCAGTACAGGTTGGGGATCAACCTGCTGGAGAGCAGCTCTGTGGAAAAAAGCCTGGGAGTCCTGGTGAACAGCAAGTTGACCATGAGCCAGCAATGTGCCCTTGTGGCCAAGGCCAATGGTGTCCTGGGCTGCATTAAGAAGAGTGTGGCCAGTAGGTCGAGGGAGGTCCTCCCACTCTATTCTACCTTGGTGAGGCCACATCTGGAGTACTGTGTCCAGTTCTGGGCTCCCCAGTTCAAGAGAGACAGGGAACTACTGGAGAGAGTCCAGTGGAGGGCTACGAAGATGATTAGGGGACTGGAGCAGCTCTCCTACGAGGAAAGGCTAAGAGACCCGGGGCTCTTTAGCCTAGAGAAGACTGAGAGGTGACTTTATCAATGCTTATAAATATCCAAAGGGTAGGTGTCAAGAAGATGGGGCCAGGCTCTTTTCTGTGGTGCCCACTGACAGGACAAGGGGCAACAGGCATAAACTGCAGCACAGGAAGTTCTGCCTCAACATGAGGAAACAGTCCTTGACTTTGAGTGTGGCAGACCACTGCAACAGGCTGCCCAGAGAGGTTGTGGAGTCTCCTCTTCTGGACACATTCAAAACCAGCCTGGACATGGTCCTGTGCAACCTGCTGTACGTGAACCTGCTTTAGCAGAGGGGTTGGACTAGATGATCTCCAGAGGTCCCTTCCAACCCCTGCCATTCTGTGATTCTGCGATTCTGTGTAAATTTTAAACAATCTTAATTTCAGAGGTTTTCAAATACTAGAGACTAAAACCCCAAAGCTAAGTTTGCTGAAATCAGTTTCTTACCTCTATGAAGCAAAATCCTTGTGCCTGAAAGTTGGTAAAACCACTGCTTAATAATTACTATTGCCTTCTTGAACAGCTAGCAGATACATGCAGAACAGCCAGCATAAAGTATGCCCTGACACACAATTTAACACACAAATACAGCAATGAAATACGGAGCTTTTATGCACATATATCTTGTATCACTTTTGTACATGATCTTGTCAGAATCTGTATGGAAATGATGAAATTATGACCTTAAGTAATCTTGTGTGAGAAAGATCAATGAAGCACCGTAAAAGAATTTAAAGGGCACTGTTTTGCAATTAAAGTAATAATCAATTGCTTTCAATATTTTTAAAATCTCTAATAAGCTTATCAGCATCGTTAGCAACATAGATAACCTTCCAGGTGCGTCATGCTTTGTAACCAACCTTCCATGTCTGTAGAGTGTTCACAGGTTACAAGGCAAACAAGACTTCAAGTCCTAAAGATCAAGAATACCATCTATAACCAGCAAAACAGATTATTTTAGGACTTGATATGATTTTAAAAGAGTCAATACAATTCAAGTGCTCTCCAGCTTTCAGGATGGAAGCAAATACTCTCCCCAAAAGCTCTGTCCCTATTATTTCTGCTAATGCCATTTCTAGGCTACTTACAGTAGAGCTGTATAAATTGTCCTTACCTTGTAAAATAGTATGTCACAACAGCCCCGGCTACTGTCATCTGCTGACAGGCTAGGATAAACTCGCTGATCCAGATGAGTCCCACTACATGGTACCACCACATGTATTTCAAAGGACCTACCATCCGAAATTCAACAAATCCTTCTTCATTTGGGACAGGACTACCTAGAAATAAATGAGGGTAAAAAAGGAAATGGTGCTTACATCAACTCAGAAAGAAGGAGGCATATTGTATTAGCAGTTCGCAACTGTCCACAGTAGACCTCCTCTAGCTTTTACTAATAGTTCTAAATGTCAAGTTTAGGAAGATTGTTCATAAAAAAGACACAACTTTTGAGACAATCAGTGTAATGGCATTTGAAGAAAAGCACTAAAAACATATTCCAAGCATATTCAAAATCCCTCAACACTTCAATTTTTAGCCATGTGGTGAAAATTTCCAAAACTAATCACCATCAAGTAGCAAAAATTCTTATAACATCACAGAAGCCTGCTTAAGTCATTCTTAATTTCAGTGTGCTGCTCTGTGGATATTATTCATATAGAGGGAATCAATATTAAGCTTCATAACTCCTTACATCTAGATGTCAACATTAACTATCGATCACTTTTGTTTTCTTTATGGTAAGTCTTTATGCATGTATTTCAACAATATTTGTAGCTTTAAAGGTATTTACAGACATAAGGAGCAGCTTTAGAGATTCTAAACATAGCATATTATACATTCAGAAACTTATTGATTCTTTGCCTAATCTGAACAATGATATCATGTATTGAGACTGACAGCTCTGTTTCAAAGTGTTAACCCACACTGAGATGTTTCAGTTCATACAACAGTTATGTAAACAGCTGGCAAGATTCAGAAAAATACTGAAAGTATTTTGTGTACATGTGTACAAAATGCTTACCTCAAAAACCATTGTTTTGACTTAGCACTGATAGCACCTTCTCCATCTTCTTAGTTATGCATTTATGCTTATATAAAAAATAGTATTTTATTGTGAATAAACTGAAGTATTGAAATAATTTTTATTTTAGTGAACAAGCTTTTCCTAAGTGTAGGCTTTTTCTCATACTCAGATAATGTACACTTTTTCAGTTCTCCTATTTGCAAAGATTTCATATAACTGATAACAGTGAAGATACCAAGTGCATATAAAGCTAAAAGCACAAACTAGTCTTTGCAAAATCAAAGCCAGTTGAAGAGTTCTGTCAGTAAAATATAGTATCAGCATAAATTCTGCTACCAATTTAGTCTCTGTGCAGTGGTCTCTAACCCACAGAGTGAAGCACAGGACTGAGACTTAACTCACTTTCAGAGACGAACATTTTCTACATACAGCACAGCATGTAATGAAAACCAAAAATTTCAACAGTAACGATAACAAGAACACATGAATTCTATTACCTCCATCCCTTGCTAAGAATTGAGGCTATGAAATAAAGAATACTTATCTTGTATTATTCTGAAATAGCTCTGTGACTTGAAACACTGCTACTTTTGGATTGGCAGTAAACAATAAATTTCAAAATTCTAAGGTTTTAATAATGAATGATAGACTCTTGCCCACAACTTGCTGCAAAATAACAGACATCTCACATTTTAAAAAGCAGTTGCTAGGCTTCTCTGCTGAAGTAACTGAGATTTAGGCCCATAGGACTGACTAATTCTAGCAGCTGTTGTCAGACCCTGAACACAAACAAAGCTCTTATCTTCTATGCTCTTCACAGAAGAAGAAATTGAGAGTACTTTGGTTGTTCTCAGAGTACAGTGTACAAACAGCAGAAAGATCTCCCTAATAATCATGGTAAATGCTCAGATAATACCGGACACCTAAGTTACAAACAAATGAAAACTTATTTCCAGCATATTTACATTTTGGGAGAAAGTAATTGTGTGCAACAGCCCTTTCATTACTATGGCTTCATCTGCGTGAGTACGGGCTACAATACAATATGTTGTGAGGTTACCTGCAAGATTAGGCTAGTTTTAACCTGTTTGTTTAAAATTAGGAGGAATTATTTGAAAAATTATTATAGCAGTCTTATTAACGGAGCCTTGTGGCTTGCAACATGCCAGCTTCCATCAAACTAAAGAGCCGGCCTAAGGCACAAAGTAACATACTGTGAATGCAGACTCAAACACACAACTTCCTTGAAACAAGCATTTTGAAATCACTGAAGCAAACAAGAACCAAAGCACAATACGAGGAGTGTTTTTCTAGAGGTTGCCTCGTGCTTTTTCAACCAACTCTACCTGAAACCATACAAAAATGAAGCAGAATTTATTTAAAATAAGCCCAGTAGCTCTCACCTGTAGTACCAAGGAAAAGCAGGACTGTGATCCAGTATGTCCAGAAGAGGATAAGCACAAAGAAAGTCCAAAATGGCTGGAAGACTAGCAGCGGCAGGTGAATGAAGACCTTGCCGGCCACGTGGAACAAGGCAATGGTGAGAGCGACTCGTTTGCGCATAATTAACATTATCAATAACAAGATAACCTAGACGGAGAAGTTTCCAAATCACACGTTTTAGAGAATCAAAAAATAAGCAAGCTATCATTTTGCACAGCTAGGACATCCAAACACAGCAAATTAACACATGCTCTATCTTATAAGATCACAAGATCAAAATGTAAAACCTCCATCAGTTTCTTCTGGTGATAAATTATTTTCCAAATTATACTTCTGGGGAATTCCAATCTCATAATTATGTATTAGACCAGCTTCTATCCTCAATTATGTTTTACAAACCAGTGAAATCAGCAAGATTTAACAAACAATACAATTTAACATTTATATTTGAGCTTGGTGTCATGGTCTTGTCATGTAAGGTAGTCAAACATCAATTTTTAATAATAAAGTCAGTGAATCTGAAACGAACAGCAAGGCCTAAAGAAGATAAATTGGTTCGGGAATCAGTGTTAGTATTTCAGTTCACAATGACACTTCCGCAAACGGAAAACGTTTGGGAACAACCAATTTCAGAAGTATGAATGGTCTAAGGACTTTCATATAAACTGAGATGACTAAGTACTTCTGAACTGAGAACCTAAGAAAAATCTCGTACGTGAAATTGGATTGGGAGCCCAATATTGTACCTATTCTTGGAAGAATGTGGACATTTTACAGTAGAGGAGAGCAGCTGCAGGGTTAGGAATGCTCTCCTGACTCAAAACCAGATATTAGAGAGCAATGCCTGAAAGTAAAAAAAAAAAAAAAAAAAAAAAAAAAAAAAAATCACTGCAACAGATCTTGCAACAGAAACAAACTCTTCAAAAATGTGTGCAATATAAACCTTTCACCTGAATAAATAAATAAGAGTCCACTAGGAATACAGAACAAGAAAATAATGTAGCCATTAGCAAAGCATACCGTGAAGAGTGTAGCTGAAATGGCATAGATCAGGAGAGCCTGAAGATTGTCTTTGGCTATTTGAGTCTCAACAGCACTGCCAGATATTCGTTGCTTAGCATAGAGCCACCACAGGACTCCTGTACCACCTATGTTTTAAAGGAAAAAAAAGGATAAATGGAAGATGCTGCTTTTATGTGATAGTCATACTACCTAGTACTAAAGAAACTAAACAGTTTCTTCAAGTCTAGTCTGGTACCGAATACTCAAGGGCAGTGATGCTTAATCCAACAGGAACTTGAGGAGGGAGAAGTGCTTAGCTCTCCTCTGTTGCCCTCTTCTCAAGTGGATATGCTCTTTTCACCGTCTGACCCCACAATGACCACTTGAAAAGCCTTGCAGCTCTTCGACTCTGTGTTCTAGAGTGAAGTGCATGGAAGGACTAGTTCATGGGGAGCCCTAACAATGAAGATTACAGCTCCCATTAGACAGGCAATAGAGGAACAAAAAGAAGAATAAACAGTTATATGTAGGACATATGTATATAACAAGGTAGGGAGTAAGAATTTAGGAGGGGAAACAGAGAAGAACCTTTGGATTAGGATGCAAAATAACAAGAGGAACAAAAGGAGGAGTCTGCAACTCCTGGGAAGACTAATAGAGAAGAGAAGGAACAGCCTTGATGCACCTCAGGTTAATGACACATAGCTACACCTGCATCAGACAACGTCTTTTGGGCAGTGGAAAAAAACAACAGTGAAAGGCACAGAACACCAATATAATGTGAGGTACTTTCTACTAACCCCTGTTACAAAATCCTAGCCTTATGGCCAGAACATCATCTCCTATGCTAGCTCCCTTTCCAAGGTAGAACTTTTCTCCAGCCCCTCAGGAAGATAATCTCTCCACTCAGATACATTTTTTTTTCTTTTAAGTATCCTTCTCTGTTCTGTTGTTATTTCTCAATCAGCTGCATAAGCTTATCTAGAGATCACAAGTCTTTGCTGAAGGTACTCTGTTCAGGCCTAAAACGGAGGATGCTTTTTTTGGTGTCTCCTAAACTAACAGGGAATACAGAATAAGCAGTATTCCTCACATATGACATATCCTTATTCAGTCCGTGTAACGCATGCAATTTTTTAGAACATAGTAACGGATGGCAACAAGGTAAGTCATTCAACTCTTTCACTCAACATAGTTGCTAAGCTTCTAAAGAGAGTATCAGTGAAAAAAATTATCTTTTTTGCCTTCTCTGTGGTCACAGATCCTGAGACCAGTAAGCAGAAAACCCAAGCAATCCTGAAAAAACATAAAGATAGTCTGCTGATTTTTTCCCATCCCTTGCAGTCATCACTGCATGTCATCACACATCAATGATTAGATTGCTAGTGCTTCCTAATTTGATTATACTACTTTTGTTCCTTCCCTACAGTCATCCGCCCATACATTTTGGCTTAGCTACTGAGTATCAATAATAGAAAACTTCAGTTTTACAAATGTAAAATTTAAAGTGATGAAGTAAGTCTATTTTTACACAAGCTACATAATTTTGGATGAGACAATCTTTGGCAATCCCCAAGACAGCTCGGCTCATTGCACTTTCTCAGAGTCATATGGAAACACAACAAAGGTTTGATTAGAAATGCTAGAAAAGCACCTTTGCTTCCTCACTTCACAAACAGGTCTTAGATACACCTACAGAGTTACTCTGAGGACTGAAGGGGGTGAGGACTGTATCAGGGTTGTACGGGCACATCTAAGTCCTAAGGTCCCCTGAGGCTGCATAAATAATAGTCACCCTTTGATTCCTGCATGCTTGAGTATCCCCAGAGGGTGGGTATGCCATCAGACATACCCAGACTAGCTGCCTTGCTGATGTATTTGGAAGGCAGGTTAAGAACCAGGCAACGTTTACAGCTGTGTGACAAGTGCTGTGAGGAATATCCCATATTGCCTACATGGGCGGGCTCTAACAAGATAGGCTGACACAAGGTGTACCAGCCAAGCAGGGCATGCAGCAAATCTCTAAGGAGCAATGTACCCTCTGGGAGAGGACTGCAATTTCAAAGAATGCATTTTTCATGTGTCTTGCAAGGGACTCAAAGGAAAGCTGAAAGGAAATGCATGGTCCAAGATCTGTGCAGCATGTAGCTGGCCTGAGGACATGGAGCACAAAGATTAAAACCAGGCATTCAGAAACTGGGAGACAAACAAGACTTACCTAGTGAACCCAGAATGACAAGAATTGTTAAAATCCAGACAAGTACTCTTGAAATGTACCTGATTATAACCATCAAAATCATGGACAACACTGCAAAAGAAGACAAATAAAATAAGCAGAGCAATTAATTCAAGTAGAAATAGCCTACCTAGTTTTCCCACTGCACTAAGATAACTGCCTTTCAAAAGAATTTTTAGACAGGGATTTTTTTTCTGAAGCTTACAAACTCACTGCACAGATAGTTAAGGAAATTGGGCACCTCTACAACTTCTGCTTTGATACTGTTGATTAAAACAAAGAGAGCATAAATACATTTACATGGTACATTAAATACAAAACATAATGTGTACATACAGACAGATGTATTTAGACAATGACAAAACAGATAGAAAGACATGATAGTACTCAGTCTGGTAACATGAACACACCTCCTGAGGACCAGAGCGGAATTTGCACTCGAATACACTTGTCAAACAAGTGCAGATAATGTGACGCCTGTGTATTACAAAATGTCATGGCAGTAAAAAGCAAAACAAATTACAACCTTATTTTCAACATTCAAAATGAATTCTTTAACGATCTTTGTTCTTATAGTTCCACTGCCATTCAGGACGTGCATGTTAAAAAGTCCTCTACAATCTCAGCCAGCTAAGATTTAGTGAGTGGTGTGTGTAAGTGCACGCACATATTTTTGCATATACGTATTTGTGTACAGCAGTTACATGAAAGCCACTGAAACCTGGCTTTCTGAATCACACAGTCTTACTCCCTGTTTAAAAATAAATAAATTCAGCTTAACTATGAAGGTATGAAAAATATTTTTTAAATTGCCTGTATGTGAAACTCTGTACTAACTTCTGATTCTAACCAAACAGCAGCACTGCTCATCAGCCACTAGTTTTCAGATTTGGAACAGTCTCTCTACCATTATTATCAAATACTGCAGCTGTCAAGATAGAAGCATTAAACAGCTTTCCAGTTATAGTTGAAAAGATACTCAGTGGTCTTTTGTGGGTTTTTTTGTTTGTTTGTTTGGGTTTTTTTAAATGATATCTAGCAACCTGGGTTTTTTTTCGTTTTCTTTTTTCTTTTTTTTCCTTTCAACCACAAAGGCACACTTGAAGCAAAGGACTTCTTTATCTGGCACAGCTTTGCAGTGTTTCTTTCTAAACCACACACACTGCTCATATACATGGCTAGTATCTGGAGCCTCCCATTTTAGGATTTCAGATTTTATACTTGGTTGGAGTAAGACAGACTCATTAGGAAACTGATTTATATGGGCAAGTAGCATTCCACCTAATTCACAAGACTTTGTTAAAAGAGCACTTCTGTCCAGTGCAATGTGTCATTCTATAGGTCAGAGGCATTTCCCAACTGTAGAAACGATTCAGCACCTCTATACTGCTCTTCAGACAAAGCTGAGGTTTTCAAAGGCCTGAACTTTTTTAATTTTGGAGGAAGGGGAAGAAGGAGGTAACATACAATATAAATGGCCATCTAAGTTCCTTGTTTTCCCTCTGAAAGTTCTCATATCCCTGCACAAATATGTTAAATGAAACAAACTAAACCCCATACATTCTAGAACAGTGTGCTATTATGAATTTCTCACCCTGTCCTTTTTATTTGGAAAGGGTTTATTTAGACTTGGGTTGGCAGAAGATGAATATTAGAAATGGGAAAGGAGAGTACTATAATAAAAAGTAGGAGAATGGGGATGCTCTGTTAATCAACAGCCACACATCCTCTATCTCATAATCAGTGGAAGAAAAGAAAAAACAGGAATGCATATGTGTGTTGCTTCTGAATAAGTTACCCAGCTGTCACATAAAATTTTAAAAAAGCATTCTGAACCACCTTCTAAGGGCTCATTGCTACCATACATGGTTTTCGCTCATATTGTGGTTAGAGGGTGTTAACAATCTCCTAGTGCAGTACTAAGAAATAGCTAGTAATGAGAAAAACAATTACCTAGTGACAACAAGCAAAGTCCCATTATAATTTCTTTGCTGGTCATAACTCCACTAATCAGCCTGTGTAAGACACTACTGTCACTGACAAAGGTGATCAGGGCCTCTGCAAACTTGGCATAGCAGGAAATGTTCACAGGAGCACAGCGATGGAAGAATGGAATAGGTGCACTGGTGACACAAGAAAAAAAAATCAGAAAAAAAAATTACTCCTACTTAATATAAATGCCACATCAACACACAAATGAAAGGTGAATAGATGCAACCATTCTACCCTCATAACATCATAACCAGAAACCATGTGTTGAATGCACAAGTGCTGCTGGAATGAGGATGATCATAATGGGAAGTGATGCAGATCTTACAAGTAACCCTGTGAGGCTGGATGAACAGTCCAATAGGGAATTATTACCCTCCCACCCTTAAATGGCAAGGCTCAGAAAATACACGTTCCTATTTCTGCTTAAACATCTCTCATTCAAGTGTCAGGTGGTGAACCAGCAGCTGAAACAATGCCTTTCACTCAGCTTAGAATGGAACACTGGCCCATATGCGCAGCAAAAGAAATTCCAGAACGACAATACTATTCTTGCGAGCATACATTTTACATTAAAAGACATCAGCACTTACAACTGCTGTGAAGAAAAAACAATGCACTTAGTCTTTCCTCATACTAAACTTGCTCTGCTATTGAAGATTACAATCACAGTGTCTACTTTCATTAACTTTTTTAAATGATGCGCTACATTCTTTGCAAAACATGCAAAGATGCCTCTACTGTTTAATTATTCCTGAACTGTTTCGGAAGCATCCTCTCCCAAAATACTGATGCTATGCATTAAACTTTGCAGAATGCTCAGCAGAACCTGTTATCCATTATAGAAAGATACAAGAGAGCAAAAACTTCACTTTAAAAGTGGGTAATTTTGTCTTCCAAACGCTTCCTGTTAAGTAGCTGCCTTCCTTACTTATAAACTATGTCAGATGTCAAAGTGGCCTATTACATCTTTTGATCAATCTTCCCAATCACACCTCAGACACATGTTTCATGAATTACATGTTCCTTCCTGTAACCGGATCCAGTGAAAGAAATGTCTTTCATATCAAGTCAGTCTTTTCTTCTAAGCTCTGTATTTGTTTCACTTTGACCAATCTTCCTTACTTAAAAGATTTCAGTGGACTGTAGCAGCAATGCACATAATCTTTTGCAGTTTCCCCATTTCAGCTGTGACCTATAAACCAGGAATTTTCTGTACTCAATAACTATTTGTTAAGTCCATGCCTTGCCAAAATTCTAACTGTCATTTTAAACACGTAGTGAGTAAAACAGCTGGGCTTAGGCACATCCTTTTTAGGCATTGTTTTTGGGGAAAAAAAAAAAAAAAGACAACATGCTGATAAACATTAGTGTGTAATTATTGAGTACAGAATTTGGGAGAAATTATGATCACTTGCCATACTTAGGTAAATAATAGATCCTAGGTTTTTGTTTGAAGAGACTGATGATTGTAAATTATATGGTTTTAAACTTACTGCGCTGAGAAGGTAAATGCATTTGTAGATGCTCATATTGATGGTCTACTTTTGGGTAGTGATGAAGACAGCAGTTAAGCACAGCAAAGTAATTGTGAATTAGTCACAGTTGTTAAAAAACAAATTAAACCCAGAATGATGGCTGCCCTACTTAAAAGGCAGCCCATGTATCCTCTCAGCCTCTTGCAAAACAGCTTATTTTGGAATATGCAGTATACTGCCATTCATTATATGCAGTAATACTGGAAAACACTAAAATTTGAGAGGTTTATTTAATTGTTAACTGCTCCAACTTTGCAGAAAGCCTAGAGCATTTAGAAGTTGTCAATACCAGTAACAAAGCTCAAATTTTGAGCTGGGAATAGGCAAAGAACTGCCATTCCTGCATCCAAATACGAAAATATCCATTTTGAAAAGGGGAACTAATGGGATTAAAATACTGTTCCGAAATACATCCCAACAGAGGAAAACATGCATTTAGTGTACTGGAGTTCATATTACTCATCTAATGTCCCTTAAGCTATAGCAATTTCACTACACATTTTAAGTTACCTATTTTCATGTGCAATAATCAATTTCTAACTTTTGTAATTAATTTAAAAAAAATTTAATTTAGTGGTTCCTACAAGTTTTCTGGAATAAATGAGACTCCTGGGAATCCACCTTTTGAGATCTGCTACTGTTTCAGTGGTTCTGACTAAATGAGTAGGCAACGAAAGGTGTCCTGATGACAAAAAAATACAACAGTAGATCTATTTTCTGTGACCCGTGCTATTTTATATGGCCTCTTGATTATAACTTGGTATATTATACACTGAAATGGAGTAACAGGTTTCTGAGAATAACATTATGCTTAATCATGAACAAGAGTGAGAAAGTTCAAGCCAGCAGGTGACTGTATATTTAAAGCGATATTCAAATGAAGACAAGAGATCCATCTGATTTCTCAAGCACTAGATTTCAAAGAAGAGCTTTTTCCTCTCTGGCTACACTTGGGCAAACTGGGGGCGGGGGGAAGCCTCGTTGGAATGCCATTGCTAGCTGCTCTTTATAACCTCTACAGGGCAGCCCCTTGGCACAGCTCAGCACAGCTGTCTGATAAGACAAATGCGGCATGGAAAAGCTGGATAGGTTTTCTTCTAGGGTCCTCTAAACAGCAAAGTCATGCTCTACTGAGGCTGACATATGCCAGGCACAGTTTCTGGAAGAAACATGTATTGCTGGCTGCATTGCTAGACTGTACTGCTGTGTCAAAGTTGGACATAATGCCTTAAAGCTGGAAGATCAGAATCCATTGAGAGGTGTAGCCTCAACTGAAGAGAAGAACGTGAAGACTGGTCATCAAACAGAAAACACCTAGGGACAGTCCTCACAGCATATGCTACCTCCATCTCACAGACCTAATGGGAATCAGATGATGGTTCATCACCCTGATAGATCAAGTCTGAGAACAGGAGTGTTAGGTAAGTTCTCCCTGAATGCCTCAGCGTACAGGTCACTGGGTTTTCATGTGTTTGTCTCCACAGGATTCCATTTCCCCTCCAAACTACACTAACTTACTCAAATAATTTAACTATAAAAATAGAGTGGTTTATAAATACAATATTGGCCTTCTTTGCCTTAGGGCATTATGTTCAGACTTTTCAATCTCAAAAATATTCAAACATATTGTACATTTTATTCCTACCAAATAAAAAAGGGGAAATACTCCATCTACACAACAGCTTTTCAAAAATAACTCTTGAGGTAGTTTTTGTGAGGAATTTTCATAGTGTCATTAGAGCCCTAACACACTGTTCCATCCTTCTGTTTTCTTATTAAGCTGAACTCATTCAGACTGAATGACATGGGAACACACAGTGAGAAAAGACAATATAATTCTGGCAAAAATTAAGACTGACAAGCCTTTTCAGTATGCAACATGGTACTGAAGTTTTCATTTGTTTTTGTATTACAGCTGGTTAGCTGCATGGAATATTAATCTGCTGTGGGGAAAAGTAAAAAAGAAGTTAATATTCCAGCTGCTACTTACTGTCACTACAATATAAAAGTAGTATTCACCAGAGAGGCTACTGGGAAGACAAGAGAGACTTAAAATCAGAGTTTTTAGAACTGACACAATTATAACGTTTAATAAAACTGTAACAGAAAACTGTGCATAGGAAAAGACTCTGCAGTTAAAACCCACTACTGAATATGTTTCAGAAGCTAAACTTTGAGAAAACACAACATAATTCCCCTTGAGTGGAATTACTGACAGAAGCGTGTGCACAACAGATCACTTCTTTTCTCAGCAATGCTCATCTCCACAGTTCCAGCCAGCACAGCTAGCAGAGTTTCTGGAGCTATGAACTTTTCTATCCTCCTTCACAAAAAGCAGTCTAATGTAATATTTTAAACAATAAAACTCAAATTGATCTGTTTATAAAATACACCCCTCTTTGGTACTTCACCATCCTCATATTAGTCATTTGGGGACTGAAAGAATAGAAAACAAAGGAATTTGCCAAATCTGACTGAATGAGGTAAGGTATAGTGAACACTGCACAGTGCTGTGTCTCAATATATCCTTTGTCTCCCAAAGAACCAAAGTGCTCCATAATTGTCTCTGATCTGCATTGCTGACAGGCAGCTGGCTATAGGGTGAAAGGCAGTAAAACAGCTGATACTCAGCACAGAGTCAGTTACATGAGACAGAAAAGAACTTGAAGATACCAGCACAATACTCTCAGTAACACATACATGAATAATTTGGGTTTTTCTTTAAGAGTTGCTTTCACAATCTTTTAAAAACATGTGGTGATAATAGACTAAAACATCCACCTGTAAGACAAAATAAATTTTTGCTGCATATTTTCTAAAGAACTATCGCAAATAAATCTCTGCTCCCTCCACCCCCAATCAGACAAGATGTTAATATTACCTCTCTGGAACTGGATATTTAGGACATAACTTGGTGGCCCTTGGGTCTGTAGTGTATTCTGATGGCTGTAGTTCATAGCTGCACAGAGTGGATCCTGTTGAGAGGAAGAAAAAAAAAGATTGATGGGGAAAAAAAATAAAAATCAAAGATTCCTATTCTTTGCAAATGGCATTAAAACTGGTATAGGCCCTGATTCTGCAGCTCCTCATGTTATTACCACAAAGTTATGCAACAGTTCCTCCTGTAATGGAACAGTGAATCAAGCCCAACACAGGTTTCAGTGTAACAGAATGACACTCTTCATCCAGCTTTGGGTCTTCCAACATTTGTGTATTTGAAAGGAAACGGCTAATTCACAACACATAAAAGAGAAGGACACAAAACGCCTTGAAGTTACACCCTGCTGCTAACTCCACTATGCTTTTTCTAAATCATTTTTAGTGCATGAATATTGCATAAGACAATATTCATTATAGAAAGAAAACATTCAAGTGTTTTTTCAGTTGTTTGTGTTTTCAAAATACAACTGGTCTACAGACTTCAGGGAGAGGAACAAAGGAACCAAACAGCTCAAGTTCGAAAGCTAGCTGAAAAACACCACAAGCTCTGCACTATATGTCCGAAACTTTTAACGAAGTTGAAGTCTCTCCATAAACAACCTGTACAGCACAATAATGACCAAGTTGCCTACAACAAAATTCAACCATAATGTAAGGTTTCCTTAGTACCTGACACTTGCCTAATGGACGTACATTACCATTTGTCTATAATCAAGATATTGAACATCTGAGCCAATGCTTCTAGGAACATAGCAACTGCCAAATCAGATTGGAGCAACAGTCTCTTTGAAACTGGAGGAACAGGTTAAGGAAGCCTCCAACAGTATAAGCCACCTATCCAGAGATGAGTTTCTTCCCAACCTCGTTTGCTAACAGATTGCTTAATCCCCAGTGCCATGACTCTGAATACATAGCCTTTATTGTCCTTGCTGCTACACAGTAAACTAAGTATATCTTGATTATCCCTATAAATACTCAACTCAATTATTTCCAATATGAAAGTCTCCTCTCCAGAAATACTCTGTAGCAGAGAGTTCTACAAACTGGATCTGGATAATACATACACACCCAAATTAAACTCAGACTTTTGACAAACAGCCGTATCTCGGCCTGCGTGACACCAAACAAAAGTATTATTTGTAGAAATATTAGAATATTATTTGCAGAAATCTTGTTTACCATTGCCACACTGCTACCACCATGAAGAGACATCTTCTATTTACAGACTGCAACAGAAGACAGAGAGCAGCTGAGCAGGCTATCCCATGCAGTCTCTGGAACACTACTTAAATACCACTTCTATGAACTAGTTTTTTGGGGGCAGGTCCAAACCACCAAATATACCATTGAAGAAAGTTAGGTTTCCTGCAAAGATTTCCTGTGACTTCTAGCTCATGCAGAAAAGAAAAAGGATAGGATTTGCTATGGCCAGGGAAGGAGGTTTGAGGCTCTTTGCACAAATGTGTATCTGAAGACCTTCTGTTTAGATCACAAGTGTAAGCCAAGCAAACCCAAAAGACAGATCCTGATCTGCACACAAATCACAAGCCATTCAAGTAGGACTTGTAAAGTAGGCTAACCCAACAAACTTCTGGCTGTGCAGGAAACTGGAGACACCTTGCAAGTCCCTCTGGACCCCAACAGCATGTTCCCTCCTGTCATGCAATGGAGTAGTGGACAACTGTGGCTGCCGCTATCATCTCTTGCCTAGGAACCACTCTTAGGACTCCTTTGGATCTCTTCCCTTCAGCTGTCCACCTCACATAGTGTGCTTCTTTAGACTCCCAGCCAAGCAGAAAAATATTTTCATGGAGCTTGCCAGATAAGGGACATTAACTACCCTGCATGTAAAGAAACTACCAGTCCAATAGCTGAAATAATGCCTATGAGATTTATTCGTCCTTTTGTCCTCCATAATTAGGCAGAATAAATTTTTGCTATTCCCATAAATATTTACTTCTTTATATTTTGAAAACCTTCCAACTTCTCTAATATGCTTAGGCAAGTTTTACAACCCAAACATGTGCTTAAGTAAGGTATCACTTTACATCAAGCTTAAACTCATTTCTTAGCAAAAGACCTCCTGTGCATCAGTAAATACAAGTTTGAATTTTGCAGGGTGAGAGTGCAAAGGATGGGCTGCTTTGCCAAACCTTCCACCCTATACCAGTATTCTGGATTAGTAGGGACTGTCTTAGCACAGCCTGTCTTATCACTGCTGTTTGAGTTTGCAAGACCTGCAAAAGAAAGAAGAATTCACATCATCTACCTTGCTGAGATAATTAGTTTACCAAAGACACTACTGTTATTCCTAAATTACTATCACTTGTAATTGTTTCAAAAACATTATGGCTAGAATTTAGAGATCAAACAAAAAAAATCATTAAAGTAATACATCCTTTGCTTCCTACAGCAACACACATACTTCTGGAGAAATCATTAGGCAAATGACCTCAAACTGTCCTACAAGGGTTGCATTTGAGATCCCAACATGTTGTAACTTTAAAGGAAAATACTTCTAAACTATGCAGAGCAACAGTTGCCAGGCTACTGGTAATCACATAGAGTTTACTAGTCCCACAGTGCTATATTTGGTGCTTTCACCTACAAAGTGGTGACACAACTGAGCTTCTGTTCCGTGGTTTCCTTCCCATGAATAGAGTTGCTCCAGCTGTTAACATATTTTGGGGTCATGACTGGAGCAAAGCAGCTCAAAACACAAACCTTCCTTTCAACCTTAACCTAGCCACCATTTCCTTTAAAAGCCTTCTTTCTGTTTTGACTAGGCTTGGATTAGTAAGGAGCTGAACAGCCATTCTCTATGACAATCCTAAAAACAGCTACATTTAGCACAAATTATGTAAAGATGCTGTAGAAAGCCAGGACAAAGATGGGGGAAATTCTTACTTTAAAGATTCTTTCCAACTGAGAAGGCAAATCATTAAAAGTCTTGTGTGCATAGAACAAGACACAATCCCCTGCGTTCCAAAGCAGCAAATAGGAAGTTCCATACTAACCTAAGGTGGTTAGATAAACTACTTTTAAATACCAGAGCTCCAGTGTTCCTTCCTGTATTTGCTGTGTTGTAAACAAACACATAAAATTCCTGCTACATCAGCATCACTACCAATATCAAAGTTTACAGCTTAAGAAATGGTAAGACTTCCCTAAGTCATCCACTAAAAGGATCAACCCACAGAGGAAAGCACTGACATTAACACTGCCGGAATGACAGTGGTGGAAAGCACACAAGGGGTTCCGGATCTGATTCTGAGCGGCTCAGCAATGCCTACCCACCTATGAACACTTGGTTTAGCAGGAACTAAATCGAGGACTTTCAGGTCTAAAAATATGGACTCCTATTCTGAGTCAAGGATTTAAGCAGAAAAACACAGAACCACGCAGAAACACCTGGGATAGCTTTGGTACTGGGAGCAAAACAATCTCTTTAGGAGCTTAGGAGTATGTTCTGCCTAAGTTAGGCACAGGTCCAAGCAGCTCCATGTACCCCTTTTCACAGGCACACGGCAAAGCACAGCCTGAGAGACTAGAAACCACAGTTTTGATAAGGTAATTTAAATGATGTTCCATGTATGGTCTCACGGTTCTGACAAACAGTATGCGTGTATCATGCGCACATGTGACATAACTGACTTCTAAAAGACCACATGATGAAGCAGAGACCATAGTTAAAAACCTCAACATCTTATTCCATTTCAAGCATTCTCTCTCCTTCTCAAGCAACATCCCATTAGTTCATCAGTAATGCAAGTCCTCCAACACAGGAATCAAACTCCAGGTAATCACAGATACAGAAATGTTAGCAGGAGTGAGACTGTTTAAACCACAACTACTGGCCTCTGTACTTTCAGCCCAGTGCTAATTCCTCTTGCGCTCTGAGTGTTTTATAAGCAAGTGTCACCAATTAAAACATAGCTAACACTGCAAATACATGACTCACAGATGATTATGCCTCACCAACCCATGCAATACAAGCTAGAGGTATTGACAGCTGGATATTGACAGAGGTGGAGTTCACTGGTATTCAAGGTCAAGGCTCCCAGACTCTCACAAGGATGAAATTCTTAACATTTCTCTACTTTTCTCACTCCAGAGCTTGTCTCAAATCTATCTGTCGAACTCTATCAGCTCTAAACTGTTAATCTGAACAACATTACTGGACTAAAGCTTCACGCAATGAGATAACTTGGTACTGCATATTATCTTAGCATATTATGGACTAACAACATGGCATAGAAATGTGGAAGCTCAAGACACTGTCTCATGTATCTGTAGAATATCATGTATTCTGCTGCAAATTCCACAATCAAAAATCACAGAATAGGTAGGATGCCAAGCACTACTTCCTCAGAAAGTGGTAAGTTCCTATCCATCGATGACTTTTGTCAGTAACAGAGAACAACGCTGCATGACCTCAGAAGAAGCACGCCTACGGGGTGTAATAACAAGACCCTCTCTTCATGAACTGCTGCCAAGTAGAAAAATGTTCAGGCCATCATGAAAGGAAATACAATGATGCTGACCAGACTTTCTTCATTCTTTGTCTGCTAGGCCTGACAACTGTAATTATACCCTGTCTACAACTATAGGAAGGAATTCTGCCCAGAACACAAGCACTAAGAATACATTGTTTAGGCTTGTATAAATCTCCTATTTGCCTATGGGTTTTTTAGAACAACAAAAACATTCCAGAAGCAGAGAAGTTCACATTTGATGCTTCCTTTAGAAATGAAGTGGCATTTAGCTGTGCACAGATCAGCATCAGGGCTGGAAATGAGTCAGAAAACAAGAACACCACTTCTTAGCCATTGATGTGAATATGGCCCGAAGTAGCAGTTAATGTGGAAGCATCAGGGGACCGCATAAATATACTTAAACATTGCAGCTCTGCCTTTTGCCAATGGTGCAGGAATAGAGGCAGAAGGTCAAAGGAGAGAGCTGGAGCTTAACACCTAAACCTAATTTCTAGGTCCTAGTGGAGCCCAGAAAAATAGTGATGCCTTGAGATGAGCAAGAAGGCATAGGAAAGACCACTTTGCAGTCAGGACTTCCCAGATTAATATGACAGATTTGTTCTCAGTGAAGAAATCAAGCTTCATGCTCTAAATCTATTCTCTGGTACCTTCCAGAAGCACAGTGTGTGTTTTAAAGGAAAGTAAGGATTGCACATATCTAAACTTCTAGTTGTTGCAGAGAGATATACCATAACTTCTTTAAAAGGGTGAGCATCAGAGGGCAAGAGAAATTAGAGCTTGCTTTTATAAATAAAGTGAAGTGAGGACTGGAGTAAAAGTAAGTATTCTACAGTGTCTGCAAGAAAAATCCAACACAAAACCCCACTACTTAGATCTTTAAATGTCTTCAGAATTGAAGTCCACAAAGAGAACTAGTGAGATAGCTAAACACAGTTGCTGTTACACCTAACCATATGTAAAAAAAAAATAATTAAAAAATCCTAGTCAGAATTGATATACATGTATTTTGAGTTGTAATTGAAAAGCCCAGACTATCATCTTCTCTATCCCCCATTCTTATGAACAGTATGGTTTTCAGAAAGCTGAAAACAAATATTAATTTACCCATTCCTCCACTCATATCTCTTCCAGTGCTAAATAAAATCAGCTATTCTGGAATCAAATTAAAAATCCATCTAGTCCAGCAGCAGATGTTTCCCCTACTGTATCTTTAGCTCTCCACGACTTCCAGCTCAAGGATATCCTTGAGTACTAACCTCCTATTAAATATCCAAATTCTATTATTCTAACAGTATATCTTTGGGTACCTAAAATATCCTCATGGCAATAATTTTTGTAAATTAGCCATAACTTGTGTGGAAAAAAATCTGCCTCTCTGATGCCTAGTAATTTCATTTTTGACCTCTAGTTTTGTATTACTCGGGTTATGAGATCAAGGAACAGTATTTTTTTTAACCTTCTCTAAGCTATTCCTGCTTTTAATGACCTTACTCTTCCTGGCAGTTTTCGCTTTTCCAGGCAGAAGAATAATTGCTTTTTTATTGTGATCATCCGCATTGCCCTTCTCAGTATGTATACACATAGTGAGAATATACATGTATATGTGTGCGTACGTATAAGTTTAAAAAAAGTTAAGAAAACACTTTGTCAAGGAAGGACGAGAACACAGCCTTTATAATGTCAACAGAGGATGAGTTAACACAAAATACAGTCCCTATTTTTTAATCTTCACAATTAATAAGCATTCAATTTTCAGACAATGCTATGCCTCTACCTAACCCTCTTGCTCTCCCCTGTAGCTTCACAATCTCTTTCCTACATAGCAATAATGATTTTAAAGCAAAACACTAAATGCCTAACAACGGTTGTTTCCCACCCCTTCATTCAGCAGGCACTCCTTTTCTATTTCACATTTTATTCTGCTGCAACTGATACCAGATTTTTTTATGTCATTCTAAATAATTCAGTAGCTGCAGCAAGATTTATTACCTCATTGTTCTTCCACCTTTCCAAATAGTTTATTAATGTAATCAATAAGACAACACAATATTACTGGAGGACTCCATGTGCTGCGACTTTCTGTGGTGAAAATTATTTCATTCATACCGCAGCACTTTAGGTAGTAAAGTGTAGGACAAAATGCTCCCACTTGAATAGTTGAAACCGCCTGAAATTTCAAATTAAGTTTTTATCTGTCTTTTGGAAGATGCAAAGTTGGTTACCTCTCATACATTTTACGCCATACAGTGCTAAAAATGAATTGAGCTAGTATTATCAGTCTTACTACTACAGAGAAAAAGTACTGCTCTTAGGGGAGACGGTGTACAATATTTCACTTGTCAATACAGTTTGTTTACTTCACACTTCTTTAAAAAATAGAAGTGTAAAAAAACAAACAAACAAACAAAAAAAAAAAAAACAGGAACTGCACTGTAGCACTGAATGAAAGCAGGAACACTTTACACACACTCTGTGCAGCAAGTGCCATTCAATAGCAGCACTGCTCTCACTAACCCCATACAGACGAGAATATTTCAACAGCATTACTGTTGAGCAGCAATGTCAAAACATTTCCATAGGAGTTGAGAACATACTCTATAGTCAGACATTCTCTCAAATTCTTGTTACACTTTGTACTTCTGTTTTAACAATGAACTTTCAAAACTGTTCAAGACATGACAGAAGCACATTAATACTGTAAGGTTTAGTAAAGTTTTAGCTTAATAAAAATCTCACATTATTTCTATTGATATTTCTTAATACATATCTCATTTTTAGTTCAGCTAATGCATAAGTCTTTTTTTAATCCTATGAAAATATCTGGTACATGAACAAAACCAGCCACGCTTTTTGCATACCATTAGTTTCTGCAAATTTCTGAATATCAGCCAGAGTTTTTAGTTCTTTCCTTGGACAAGCTGACACACACAGCGCAAGAGACTTGATCCTCTGATGTACTAGATCAATGTTGCATGGATCCAAGAAGAACACATACCTGGGGAAGAAAAAAACATAAATTACTTCTATTTTAATTAACAATTACACAGAACAAAATCAATTTCATTTCAAACTAAAGGATTCAGCCAAGACTAACCTCTAGTCTACCCAGAAACACAGGAAATTCGATGTTATCGTAACTGTGTGAGTCAAAAGAATTCTTGTACTTGACATATACACCACAAATATATGGATATTTATATACTTCTGGATCACATAAGGATGATTAACTCTACCAGATTCAAATGGTGCTGTTCATAGAAACGGCAGCACTTCTACCATGCCTTTTCACATTTACGAATCTAAACATTCACAAACAAAGCTTTATTACAACCTTAAACTTGACTTCAAGATATCCAGCTTTTTCCAAAAAGAACGGACAAACCCCATAAGGTTATACTTATACTGCAAAAAGGACAAAGTCCATGGCTATTTTAGTGAAAACATAATACCAGTAATCAAGAACAGCTTTTTGGTTTAGACTGATTTTCCACACCACTGGTCCATGTGACTGAGCAGATTAATATTTATTTTGAAACAAAAATTGCTCAGATATTTCAAGTAGAACTATCTAATGTTCAAGAGCAGTATTTTAGAGAGATTCTAATTGCTAACTTTCCATGATGCGTCAGTGTCATTTAAAAATCCAATATGTGAAGTACGTGTGATAGCTTCCCAGCTAATGTCTCCTGGCTATCACAAACTTCATCACAAATGCTAACCCTACAGTATTGCTCATTCATGGTACAATACAGATGCAGAATGTTTTTCTATTCTGAAGTTGAACCAGTCTTTCAAATTCCTACAATTCTGCTGGTATACCATGCACTGAAATACTCTTTGTGTTATCTAACATTACCACAGGAAAACACCACCAAAACACCATATAAAATGCCACCTATATTTTTGCAGTCCACATAACGGGAATTCATCCTGTAATCAGTAACAATCCCTTCTGCTCCTAGAAAGCATTTAGATCCTCCCTGAACTCTGTCTGTAGACCAACTGCTGTCTAACTTTTCCCT